AGGGATGCTTTGCTCGTTTACGTCTCTATTTCCACTTTGACATTATGTGGTCGCTCTTTCTTTAGAATTCGTACGCTTTGCTACGTCGTTTGAAAACAAAGGTTTTCTTTTGCGATCGATCATCATTTCTCTATCGTTGTGCAGTTATTGCTTTTGCTTATTTTATTGCCTCAAGGTTGAGCCCAAAGCTTCACAAGGAGAGGTTCTTTTTAGTATTTATTTTTGTATTGTGGAGAATGATTCTTTTTGGAGGTAAAGCGGTGATAAATTTATTATGTACGAGGCTGTGGAAGGGCACATCTCTATTACCCTCACACTCATCTAAATCTCTATTCTTCAATTCCTTCCAGTTTTATTGTTTGCTCTTTTTGTATTTCATTTGCATGCATTATATTCTCAAATGGCTTTTGAAACGGCGTTGATCAATACTGCTTGCTCCTTTCATCTTGTGAAATTTGCCCTTCAAGGCAGGTCCAGCTACTCAGAGCCGCTTGTTTGCACAATAGTTATTGATTATGTTTATAATAGCTTTTTCAGTTCGTTAGACTGGCCACAATGACAATGGGTGCCGGGATTGCCCATGTGAGCTGAGTGTTATTCTTTTAAAAATCTGGCTACTGAAAAAATTTTGGCTAATGGTTTAAATCCATTCAAAAATTCTGCTGCTACGACTGTCCCACGGCTAATTCATCATCTACTTTCCAAACTTGATTTAGCGCTCCAAGGTTGCCTCGCCTAGGTCTGCCCTTTTTAGAGGCTTCGGGAAGTAATAGAGCGCATACTGGGAACCCTGTTAAGTCTAGTTTGTATGGAAGTTGGGTGCCACGGGGCGTATATTCAAGGTAACATTGATGCTTAGATGGCTAAGGCTTACCGTTTTGTTCAGCTAGAAGGTTTTCGAACATGCATATCGCCTCTAAGTCACCTATTGAAGGCCGTCAGCTAGGATTTTCAATTTCTGAAACATCTTCGGTGTGCTATGTTAGTGCATGTGATAGCAATTAAGAGTGCTCTATCAAGAAAAAAAAACAAGTTATTGACATCTATCTAATTTCGGCAAATCCTGTTTGGTTTGTTTGCCATGGATGTTTATGAGAATGGTTCATCTTGGTGAGCAAAATTCGAGGTCGCAGTCGACTTTGTTTTTTTTTCTTGTATACGTCTTGTCTCGATGGTCTAATATAATCAATCTTCGCAGGGCAAAATTACTGTTAAAATCGTAATTAATTGAAATTACTGTGAGAGTAATGGGTTGTGACCATCTGCAGTTTACAGTATTTGGGCTGAGTTTGAACATAGCTAGTAGTGCGCGGACGAAAGCGCGCATTGGACGGGAATGAAATCAAATTCACAACATTCACGCTTTCCAGTCCAGGCCATCTTCCACACTGTCGCCAAGAAATGGTTACCATCATGTTCATTGTGAAGGATGAAGGCACACGATGAAATCTGTGAAGCCGTGATTGGGCCCCAGCCCGGGAAATCGGTTCACAAGCAAAGAGGTTGTACCGACTGCACCACACGAATTTGTCAAAGAGTGGGGTTAATGTTAGAAGCTGCAGTAAGGCTACAAGTCCCGGAGTTCTGCACAGGAGTTACGGCATAGGCGGTTTATCTCGCTCCTTTCTATTCATGCTTTCGTCTCCGAATTTCTCTCTTTGCGTCCATTATCTCTTATGTGGGTGTCTATCTCGTTGAGTAATCTTGGCTGGGGCAAGGAGCTCCTTATTTGAAGCGTTCTGTGTTTTTTTTTTCTTTCCCTTCACAAGGGTTCAGCAGTTTCGGTCATCTTTCAGAATTATACAAGCTGATGGAGTGATCACCTCTTTGAGGAGCGCTGGCAGTGATATGTGTCAAGCCATTAGCCTGCAAGTCATCAGATCAAACACTTGTGCAATTGCCACTACTATTTGAGTGTGATTTCAGTGCATGGCGCATGTCGGAGAGTGATTGTTGGCATGTTTTGTTGGCATGTTTACATTCGTTTTTTCGCGCTCGAAGTTATCGTAAGGATTAGGGAGGGGGGGGGCAGAATTTTGTTGCATGCTAAAGGAATTGATCAATGCCTCTTAACATTTTTTAGTGAAGTGAAGATCTCATTTTCACCAAGTGGACATGGAAAAACCCCGCTTATTTTTTCGGTTATTCAGCTTATTCAGCGAGGACGTAGCTGTGCCTGACTAGCGAGGCTGACTATGCGCTTATAGAGAGACATATGATATCCTCTCAATCGATTTCATGCTTGCAGTTCAATCCCTAGGCTACTCCGTATTTCCAGCTCTCAACGTCTTACATGCGATTGAGCTAAAACCGCTTATCAGGCTCGCATATGCGCTCCCCATATTAATAACTTATTTTTGTTAGGTAAAAATTGATCGCAATATCTTGTGCCATGGGACATTTATGTTGAAAGGTTTCACTGGTTCCTTACATACGGTTAATCATTCTGGTACAATTTTTGAGTTAATGGAAATCTGCTTTTATTGAAGGTGCAATTTGTTTTTGCAAATAATATTTCTCGTTTGTACGTTTTTCTGGAATCCTTTCAAAACAATTGGTGAAAGGCTTCACCTTGACCTAGAACCCGTACCTGAGTAGTAATAAACTGAAGTCCACTTTTCATATCGCCCGTTGTAATCGATTGATATTGCATGTGTGTATCCGATGCCTTTATTGCCTAAGTGGATCTGTGGTGATGTTGATCTTCCTTGGTTGTTCTTTTGAAATTGTTACGCTGATATTCAAATTACTCAAAACAACATCTACCTTTTTCGATCAGAGTCCGCGGAATGTGAAAGAACTTCTCCGAGTTGATAGCCCAAGATGCATTAGCTAATTGCGTGTTAGTGTGTCTAGTGTGAAATTGTAAGGAAAAACAAGCGAATAACTTTGAAGGTGTATCCTAGTGAGTCAGAATTTGTGCCCCTCCCTATCAAAGCTGACCAGGGACTTTGTGTTATCATGGTTTACTTTTATCAATTCTGTCATCGCGCCATTCTGTTTAAGTAAGGTTGTTGCAGACTCCCTGATCATTTGAGTTTATTGTTAGCCATTGATGTGTTTTCACCATTTAAATTAGGGGAGTGGTCAACAGTATCGTCCAGTCGTCGGACCGCCGCGTGCAGCCACTTGCACGGTGTCGCAACGCGGCCATTTTCCAAGGAGCGCGAGATTTCCGAGATTGACGGTTGGAGCAGTTGGTTGAAGTTCGGGGGACGGGCCTGGTAGGCGTCCCTGTAACATTCAAATTCAAATGGCGCTCACAGAAACTCGTCCACTTCGGTTGCGACATCGCGGCCACGATCGGCCGTAGCGTGGGGACCGGACGATTCTCTTGACATACACCCTTTAAATTATGATGTTTGATTTTCTTCTTTTGCTGAGGTGTGAATAAGTAAGTTTTTTGGCTTAATAGTGACTTCAGAGATAAGGGAGTAGCAAATAATTCATACCATGTCTATTAGCTTTTGATGGCAAAGCAGTTGGTGATTACCGAAGAAGTGAAAACAAGGGATAACCTAAGGTAGATCGTCACTGATATTGAATAAGGAAACGTGCAAATAAGTTTATGGAGGTTGTGGGAAAGTACTGATCTGACTGGAGTGTCATATGTTCCAAATTAACCCTGTTTTCAAAGTTCTGACATATCCTTTGTTTTTCTCGTTGTGAAGCTGGGCTAATTTAATAAGAATTGCTCTTCATTTGTTGCGACCTCCCTTAATCTTTTCACAATAGCCCAGGTCATTGATTTTTTGTGTGAGCAGCATTCATGGGTAGATTCATTGATCGCGCGCGCGTGCCTGTATACCTATAAAAGAATATTAGTTTCGGATTGTTATGTCGCAGCGTGGGGGCTGTCGCCATATCGCTGAACCAAATCCATCTAATTGAAAGTTAGCCTTTGTGCTGTGCAGCTGTCGAGGAAGTAATTGTGCATGTTTTCTACTGTTATTTTGTACATCAATATCTAGCATATTGATCAATGATGGACAAGTTTCAAATTGTGCATGTGAATAATTTGAGGAATGATCATATTTTGTGTGTTAGTGTTAGAAACTGTTCAGCTTGAACCCACGTGGACTTTAGTGAATAACTGAGTCTTTCTCTGCCCTCAACCCAGTTTCTTGCCATCCTGTTCAAAGGATGTGATTAAAGAGTGCAGCTGAAGGTGGCGCCACTTTCCATGCATCCGATTTAGGGGTCAAATTCTGAACTGAATCTGAGAAAGACCCATTGGTTCCTTCTATGCTTCCCTGGGTTGGGCAGTTGGTTGCCAAAATGGACTGATCTGGTAACAACACTGGTTCGTGCATCGGCTGGACGGCGCAAGCCATTGTATATGTCAAGTTGGATTCAAATACCATTACGACTTTGCATGGAAGTAGAAGTCGTGGCGCATGCACGAAAATGTATATCAATAAACGCGCGCTGCTTCTAGCGTTACTGAAGCCAAAAAGCGACCATAATGTGCTAGTAATAATAATATACATATGCCACATGTTCTCTGTTTCTCGTTCGTCTCGTTCGATAGTAGCGGCGATGACTAATCAAAACCTAGTCAGCGCTTTGATTGTAAAGCGTCTTACGTACAAAACGTTTGCTGTTTTTAGTTACCATAAAGTTATGACTTTGGAATTCCAGACTGAAATCCAGTCGTCGCTGCGTGGCCAAGGCAGACTGCAGATTTCCATCTAAGATTTCCATTATGACCACAATACGAAAACGTGCTGCCGCGGATCCCAATGAAGGCGGTGACGCACTGCCTCCGAAGCGATCAATAACTGAAGTGAGCTTTGCTTCGTTGTATTTGCAAGAATGTTGCAAATTGCTTTTGAATACTGTTAGAGAATGTTCACATGTATTACTGTAATGAAATTTAAGGAACAAATGAGCGCACCTTTGACGCTGGCGTTGAAAGCCCCGGCACCGTACAGCGATGAGGAGCCAGCGATTGCTGAAAGGAATCGAGTGGATTATATACGAAAAAGATCACCATAGCGATGGCAAAGGCTGATACAGGTTTAGCAGATCGGTAGCATTAATTATGGTCGAGACAAGTAAGTGCTGTCAGTGCTCGTTCCGGCCAAAACGGTCTATTGCTTCTTGCAACTCCTATCCTGTAAGTTTTTGCCTCGTCTTTGCTAGGTTGTGTTCATAGAACTGCTATATTTTTCTTTTTTCTATTTGATCCTTCTACTTTTCCTTCGTTTGCCTCGCTGATTCTTTTTTCTGTGCATTTTTTTCTTTTTGCTGTACCCTGCGACGTACACTGCCTTTTTAAGTATTTTACTGTTTTTTTTTGACATTTTTATTGCTTTTTTTATTTCTCTTTTTTGTCTTCCACTGCTTCCTCTATCTTCCTCTTATCTTTCATTTTTTCTTTAGTGTTTACATTTTCATGACATGTTTCTTTTTTTCATACTTGGCTCTACTACATAGGCTCTGTCTCACTAGTTGTCTCGGTTGATTTTCCCTATTCCGTTCCACTTTCTTCTACAGCACCTCTTTGTGTTGCGATGTAATGCGGCAAGTGACGCTACAGCGGTTCAGAAGATGTTCTAGAGACCAAATTGCAGGTCGGCCCTCACGCGATCCATCCAGACCCTATTTTTTCCTTCTGGAGTCAGTGGGTTGGTGAAAGTTTTACTCGGAAAATGAAAAGCATAGTTACACTTTTTTGTCTCCAATAGCCATATTAGCGCCTAAATCCCCATAGAAATGGTCGTAAATATCAAGAGGGAAAGTAGAATGAATGGCGCAAAACACAAAACGATCCATAAATTCCAAAGGACTAACAGATTTGATGCGTTTTTCTTTCATTTAAAAAAAGATTTCGCGAAGTGCTGCGGGATGATGCGTGACTGAACTGTGGATCTGAATTGCTTGACCTGTTTCATCCTTCCCATTTGACACTCGTGCCTCTCATTTGCTTCGATCCATGTCCGTGGAATCTTTTATGAAACCATTCGTTGCGCTATAAAGCTTTATGGATGAAGCCAGCCTTTTATTCCTTAGCTTCCTCAATCGACGTCAGCTTTACTGATTCTTTATCCTTTTAATTGCTCCCGTCTCATTTACCAGCGGGATCTGCTTATTTTTCTTTCTTTCATCCGTGCTTCCTTTCGTAACTTCCTTCCCATTTCCTGGGACTCTCTTCTCCCGGTTAATTTGATTTACTTCTCCATCTGTTTCCAATTTCGAAAACGTTGCTTGGAAGCACTTATCAGGATGAGAACTATTGCAGAAATAATAATAGAATTAGAAAACAGAGATGCCGACTCTTTTTTTTGGTGAAGGAAGCGGACGCAGTGCAAATCGAGTTGGATCAGTGGTTACTTATGAGTGAACCGTAGGTAAAATTGTCGAAAATATGTAATCTACGGTTCTTCTATGTAGCTAAGTATGTGCAAGCCTTGGTCGGCCAACGCTGACTTGAACTACTTTTATTTTTCAATCACGGCACATTTCAACAAAGTTCTTTTTTTTGATTGCCTTTCTTTTCAAAGCTTGACTTAACATGGACATGGCTTCCGCAGTGATTTCTGTATAAATTTTTGGTACATTTGGTCATAGAATGTGCTAATTTTTAAAACAACTTTTTTCATTTAGCCTAACTTGCCGGTTGCCCGCTTTTGAATCTCACCCTAATTTAATTCTTTTTTTTCAGCTGGTCGCCCAGTGCGTATTTATGCAGATGGCATATACGATCTGTTCCATCACGGTCATGCGAATCAACTGAGGCAGGCAAAAAACAGCTTCCCAAATGTTTATCTGATAGTTGGCGGTGAATTCACTTTGTTTATTCACCATGCACATTTTTAGGTGTAAAGGTGGTGTGTTTCAGTATGTGGCGATAAGAACACGCATAAGTACAAAGGTCGCACGGTCACGTCAGAAGAGGAGAGATATGAAGGAGTGCGCCATTGTCGCTACGTAGATGAAGTTTATCGGGATGCGCCTTGGTTTTGCACGGTGGAATTTTTGAAGGAACTGAAGGTACATCAAAAGCAGATGTTTTGTATTAACGGTACTAATAAGTGAATTTAAAAGATTAGCAATGGATTTGGGCTATAGGAAACATACGCTCGCTGCCTTTTGAAGATATAATCTTTGTGGGAGTATTTGATAGAAGGGACGTGGTCGTTGCGTGAGGGATCAAATTTGAACTCTTTCAGGTAGACTTCATCGCCCATGATGCAATACCATATGTTGCGCCAGGAGAGGAAGACCTTTACGAAAAATTCAGGAAGGAAGGTAATTTTCCGAATCAAAAAGCTCACATTAAATTTCTACCTAATTTCGGATCAATAAATGTAGGGTTTTCATAATAAAGCATGGCAGGTATGCTGTTGGATGTTGACCGGAGTTGCAAGGTTGTAAGTTACATTTATAATTTTTTATTCAAATTAGCAGCAAGTATGCTTTTTCAGCGGGATGTAATAGGAAGTAGAGCTCATACTACGCTCGCAATCTGTGGATCGAATTTAAGGCCGCCCTGCATTGGAGGTTTTCCCTAACCATAAGGTCTGAATGAGAGCGCAAGTGAAGTCTAGGTGGACTCCTACTTGATACAGTCTCGCATAACAATTCTCGTTTTTGTGACTGTATGACATGTCGCTATGAACTTATCTCGCCATAATTTTGCAGCCTTACCCCGTTATTGACTTTATCCCCGAAATGTTGACCTACTTGCTTTTCAAGTTTGAACCCAGTGACTATTATTCTATTGCGATTCATAATAAGGAAGTCATTGCACCTCTTATAACGCAGGGGGATTTCGTTTGTAGGCCTAGGCTTCAGGGAAGATGAAGTGAGTATGGTGGCAAGTGCGGTTTCATAGCCAAGGATGTAATATGAACCGAAATCCGCCTAGATCAACCCATGCTTTTTTTTATTCGTTTTCTACGGCAACTCTAGACAGGAGTGCAGTTGTGGTGTGCTCAAAGTTACCATTATTTGGAGGGCGGGGGCGGAGGGGAAGAGGACGGGGGTTGAGGGAAGCATAGTTCGATAAGTTACTAATTCTTGCATGAAAGGAAGCAAATTAATGCAATGCTGTCGCTCCAATTTTGTCATTCTTTGTCACACATCAAGAGAGGTGTATTATCAATTGGTAGTAGGGCATGATTGAAACGAGTATATACGTTTGCAGATTTTCTTGGTGAGTGCGTTATTATATTTAGAATTTCAAGAATGCAATCATGGTGAAGTTGAACTGTTCGATACCAACTTAGATCTGATTTATAAGAGAAATGGAAGTTTAAAAATCTCTCTAGGCTTTGTATCAGGCCAGCTGGGACATTCTAGTTCCTGCGAAGCGTTATATTCTTGGAACTTTTTCATTGAAGCTTCGATCTGGCGACGGCAACTTACACTTCTGTGTTTGTTTTCATTTCAGCTATTAGCTCTTTTACCCACAAGGTTAGCGCAAAACGAACTATGTTACTATTATTTGTCAGCTGCTGGCAATTATTAGTAATTGTAATTATACGAGTTATATTAATTGTAATAGTTCTACATTGGCATGGTGCTGTTTCGCGAAACTTGCCAACCCTTTCAGACTTCCAGCGATCATCGTTTTCTTGTTAGGGAAGGAGTTGAATATCGGTTTGGTGCAGCCGGTTAAATTCTTGAAATCCCTCTCATTGATAGAATTTTCTTTTATTTGCTTGGAATAACAAAATAATTTCTGAATCGTTTCTGGAAATTTCAGAATGGTTGTTCAAATTTGAGTAAGAGTATAAGCACAAGACCGAATTATAGCGGTATTTCTGAGGGTACTGTATTTTACAATTAGTTTGGAAACTGTCAAATTTCGATTATTTATTACCTTTTCAGAAATGTTCATTGAGACGCAACGAACAGAAGGAGTTTCAACTAGCGATGTTGTGTGTCGTATATCGCTGACTATGACAACAGATTGTCGCAACGAAATCTCCAGCGAGGATACTCGGCGAAGGAGCTGAATGTCGGATTTCTTGCTGTGAGTATTCGAGAGTTTTCATAACTTAAACTCGAAAATTACCCTTGAAAACAAGTTACAGTAGACTTTTTTGTGTTTTATTAAGCTCGATAAGGCCGATGTCATAGTTTGCGAATCGGGCGATTCGCTAGCGAATCGCTTCGATGAAAAATGGAAAACACGCTTCGAACTCGTGGCCACAGAAGTGGGCGAGGTCCGCGGGGGCAAGTCGATTCGCTGGACGCAACGCTCGGGTCCGAGCGATCGCCAAAAAACGTATGACATCGGCCCTAATGAATGTAAATGTTCTCATGGGCGAACTGCCTGAGCAGGAGCCCAAAGCAAACGGTAGCAAAATCCCAAGCGCATTCCATGCCAAACGTATGAGCTTAATCGGGCGACCATTAGCGCTCGTCACATTGGATGGCTGCTCACCTTACAAGGGAAGAGTCGACCAATGGGAGGGGCGCAAGTGATCGAGTAGACCCCTCCCAATCCTTCAACGTGGAATTTGCTTCCAAAGGCTCTTAGCAGTTTCGTTTTTATCATCATCGCTGCTGGATTGAGAGCAATAATCCTTTCCCGAGCAGGTTGTTGAATATTCCTTTGTGCTGCAATTTCTTGGGACACCCGTAGTCTTATCCAGTGGGGAGTTAAGGGTAAAAAGAGAGGCAAAGATTGTCCCGACCGAGAGCATCACTTATTTGAACGCTATCTATGACTTTAATACCGCATTTTAACAGGCTTCCAATTTATGAAATGGTTTGGTGCTTTGCGTGGACCAAACAGGCGATTGAGCTCATAAGCGAGCTCCTAAAATGAGGTCTCGTTTATGTTGAAGTATACAAACCGCTTATTTTCCTATAGCACATCCTCACAAAGCTTGAGGGCTACCCTGTTCGTCTGCATACTCACCATTTCGGCCGATGTGTTTTGTAGAGGTTGTGGCAGTTCAACCGTGCACTTGTCAGTGCAGTTCGTCGCTTGACCACTCACAAATAAAGCGCGCGCCTCTTCGCTGGGATGCTCAATCCTGGTTTTGCAGTGTTTCCCAGTTGAGATCCGTAAAATTCGATCAAGTGCCATGTTCGACTCTCGATGAACCTCGGCATATTTTTAGTACGGTTTTATTTGACTCAGAAGCACAAGTTGATTTCGCTCTAGCCTGACAGTGTCAGCAGTCTTTCTTGGTTTCGCGTACGGGGAATCTTCGCGAAGCTTAGGCCATACATAATTTGAGAGCAGGTGAAAGTTTTACCGGACCTTCCCTATTCAGCGAATCAGCTCGCAGAACGGCAGGGGTGCGCAGATATAAAAGATTCAGCAGGGGTTTTTAGGGGTACGGGTGGGGAGGGCTAACCTTATGTAGGCGGAAACCTGAACTCATCAGTCTCATATCCGCTATATTGTCCTTTCTGTGGGCTGATTTCGTGATCTGGGAAGGCAAGGTACTGTACCTGCCTATCACCAATGTGATGGCTTGACTGGTCTCGAAGGTCTCGTAGGGCAGTGAGATATTTGGTTGGAACAGTCGTGAATCTGTTGCTACTTTTTTACACTTTGAAAAGGTGAAATCGCCGAGCCGACGCATTATCAACCGTGTGTGCTGTTGAGTCAACCGAAGACGTACTTCATCAATCAAGTGCGCCGTTCGTGCAGTCATTCGCTTTTTGAACGCAAAATTCTTTCAACCGCTGCAAGATAACGTGCAAGGCTTTCTGATGGACATGGCAGCGAGCTGGTGTGACATGGGCGTTGTAAAACTGCCACTGTGTCTGCAAAAATGCATAGAGGATTCCACGATAAGGTCGAAGGTGAAGAAGAGGAACTTACCTAAGTGCTGAAAGACAGCGTGACCCCTTTAAGGGTGCAGGCCAACACGCAATTCGCTGGACGAGGATGTGCCGTGCGATATAGCATGTCCATCCCCCGCGACGCTGTCGGCGCGGCACGCTTACGGATTGACTACCCATTCGCCATAAGTCTCGAGCCGTTTAGCAGAACAAGGAAGGGGTTCCATTCTCAACCCGACATCACTGACCACCCATTGGGCTGCCTTCTAATCGTAAGCTTTCCCTCAACAGAATATATAATGTGCAAGAACAACATTCACTCGCATTCAACTTCTGAATTGTTTCAAATATTATAGAAATTAGATGATGGTGTTTACTTTCTAACAGACGGAGTTTCTGACTTGTTTGGGGGTTTGTGTTTGACGCACCCTTTTTGGCAGTTGGTTTTCCCTCATGAACAGGTGTGCTCGGAAAGTAGGCGGCGGCAGCACCCGTCTCTGGTGCAACGAGTTCACTTGGGGGCGGCAGCGCTTCGAAGTCCGCTGCTCAGCAGGCAGCCGACTTCTCCGCAGTTAAAGGGCCAGACCTCGTTTCCGTTTGGCAGCCAAGTTACTGCTTCATGTGAACATGCTTTCTCGATGCGCTTCCTCTTTTTCGTAATCGCTGCCTCTATTTCTTGACGCTTCATCCTTTTGATCTCGTAGTTTATGTATGCGTTTCTATTTTCCTGCGATTTTGGTCGCCTAAATTTGTTTATGCTTTCAGTAGACCATTTTTTATTTATCAGTGCTGAGGTTTCAGATGTGTTGAAAATTATTGTCCATTGCGCAATTTTTCTACAAGTGTTTAGGCAAGCAAGTACCAGATACAAAATAAGGTCGACAGTCTGAAGGAGAAGGGCTTGGAGTTCATCAGTAATTGGAAAAGTCGATCGGATGAGTTCATACGAGACTTCTTGGATTTACCCCCGTCTCCATCGATGGGCCGATTTGAATGTGAGCATTGTTTTTTTTTCTATCGCTTCACATTGTAGTATAAACTCAATGGGGTCGTAGAAGTTCAAAAAAGGCCTTTTTCGAGGCAGTGGCGCCACAGTTAACCTCTCATTGTCACACATGCCTGGAACTTTGATGACTCACAGAATGGCAAAAAAAAATGCCCTTTCAAATTCTTGAGATGATAAACTGCTCGCGATTCGACATTCAATCGGCGATCATTCGTTGCGCCGACTACTTACGCGAAGTAGCGTTTTGCTTGAAAGCTGTTATGGGCCACGCCACCTTAAGCATATGGGGTCTTCCCCAGCGCCCAGGCGCGGCTCCTATCTTATTACTTGGTTACCTTTCTGAAAATTTTTTACGACCCCTCTCCCCCAAGGTGGATTTGATACGACCCCCTATTCGACACCTCGACCACCATATTCCTCTCTATAGTACTTAATTCTGATACCACTTAACCCACCAAACTCCGCCCACTTCTTCCTCCAAAAATGCGCGCGAGGCGCGGCGGGGGCGGGGGTTTAATACGCGCGCCTGCGCTCTAAACGCCAATCTTCTTGGGCTCCCAACGCCCCATTATACGCCCTCCCCCCTTTCTTGCAAACTCAACCAGGTACGACCCCCCGTTGTTACTAGTAACAACGTAGGGTTGACCCTGGTTCCAACGACAAAAACGTTGATGAGCCGCTTGGCCTCAATTAAGATTTTATTATGAGTTTGGAAGCAATCCACAGATTCGAGGCGTAAACGTCGGATTTTCCTGCATGTACTGTTGCAGGCATTTGGTGGACGCTTGAAAGAGCTTGTGTCCCGTTCAAACTCTCCATCACCAACACCCGAACAGTGTTCCGTTGAAGATCAAGATGAGCTGGATGGTGCTCCAGAATATCTCAGACGAGCGCTGTCGAATGGATCATCTGGATCGTCACCGCGTAGTTACTGAGTGGCTGGTTGTTTTGTAGTGCTGACGCAGTTTATCGTCGGACGTTTTTACTGTTTGTTTTTGTTAATTCGTTGCATTTGAAGGTCAACTCAATATCGTAACTTAAGATGTTTGTAAACTGTGACTTCGTGACTTCATAGTTCGTGTTCAAGTGTTGGATGAATTATGGGGCTAGGCTATCGTCGTGGGTTCATCGTAAAGGCTTGGAGAAATAGATGATCGTGAAGGAATGCTCTTGAAGGGAAGGTTGCACTTATATTTAAAAACCGATTTTTGCTAATTATTCAGAATCTTATAGGTGGTCAAGAGCGGTCCTGGTTACTGCCTGCTACCTATCCCGCGGTCAACTTAGCACTACAAAGGCCTGTACGAAATGGTTTTTAAGAAATGGACGAAACTTCCATTACAGGAAAGTGCGCGTGTTTGCCCTTTGAAAAAAAAAAATTGGACCGCTCTCATCTATAAGGTGTTGGGGTAACCCAGAATGCTTGTAAGGACTATGGAGCTGTCAAAATTGCGCTTAAAAAGGTGGCTCATACAGATTGAGACTTCTGCCTGAATAATAAACTAGTACCCAGTATTTCGCATTTCAACAGCTAGCCAGCTTTTCATAAAATATATAGGCGTCGGGGGCTGGTTGAGCTCGTTCGATAACTTTGGTTTACCACTTTTGAGAAAATGTTTAGAATGGAAATTTCACTGGATGTATCAAGTTGAATGTCGTTTCGACAGTATCTCATTGGTAAACTCGACTCCTAACATGTCATTGAAGTCCTCTCTCGCTGCCTTTTTATAGTTATGGCATTTTTTCTCATCATTTTTACATTTCAAAGGCCATTATCTATTCGCTTATCAGTAGATGCTGCCATAACTATTCTATTTTACCTTGTATAGTATTTACGTATGTGTTATAGATTCAACAGAAAAAGTCTACCTTTGGTTTCACCATATTCGTTATATTTCAGTGATTCTGTTTGTTTATGTCAATGAAAGAAGAATTCTATTGCAATTATTGCTAATAAAATGCCCCTACATGCCATCAACGTTGCGGGTGAAGCGATGGGTGAGGGTAGTGTCTTATCAGCGGGCGTTAAAAGGGGCTTGTGCTAACCTCTGTTGATACTTGGCCTATTCTTATGGGAGTTAACCACCTTTGTTTGGTGATTTTATGTAATAAAGTTCCTGAAGCTAAAGTTATTGTGTTTGGAACATTTGAAGAAAACAACCTTGTAATAGTTTTGTTTTCATATACAAGCTTCACAAGTACTCA